CAAAAAGGGTTCAACTTGAGGCTTGACCGCTGGGCAGGTTACCTCACCTCCCTCCCCTTTGGTTTCCCATATTGAAAATGGGATAATAATTCTCCTTACCTTGCAGTATTGCTGTGAGAATAATTTATATAAAACTAACACATGTCAGTTACCCAGCCTGTAGGATATGTGCAGGAGATGTGAGCTGTGCTGTTCTGAGAGGCGCTGTAGTGTGCGCTGTAGATTTGGGTGCTTGAGCCAGTCTGCTTGGGTTCAAACTCTGCTTCTGCCCCATTGTAGGTGGGTAACTTTGAGCCAGTTATATAACTTCTCCATGCCTCAGTTTCCTCTGCTATATAGTGGAGATTATCACAGTCCTTACCTTGGAGAGGTGGACTAAATGTGATAACCTGAGTAGAGTGTAGAACAGTGCCCTCAGAGTGTCTAGTAAGGCCCTTCACACCTAAACAGAGAGAGGCAAGGAAAGAATTAGTGGGATGACAGGAGATGCAGGCATCATCTTCATTATAAGCTGAGGCTTAGCTGGAGAATGTGGCTTAGGAGTTTTGGCAAAGAGGGCCTGCTGAGACTGTTCCCCTGATTTGAATTTATTTACACCCTGTGTTTAGGCAACTCTGGAGACTACCAGAGGGGTAGATGATGCATGTGGCCACTGGCTTCCAAAGGGAAGAGCGTGGGGCCCTGTGTAGGCCTGGGTCCCTTTCCCAAACTGCCCCACAAGGGGAAGTCTTCCCCACTTCCGTGCACCAGGGCAGGAGGCCTGGAACACCACCCTACGGTCACCCCAACTCCCCCCACCAGGAAGCTCGAAGACCAAGGCAGTCTTTGGTTTTCTGAATGGGGTGCATTGTAGGCAGTGATTTGCTAGAAAATGCTAGGTATAGCAAATGCTGTACTGATCTCTGAGAATATAAAGCTGACATTATGACTCTATTGGGATTGAAAGCTGGGGACAGTTTATATGACCCCTCTTTTTCAATTTGAAAAAAGAAACCTATGATAATTAGAGAGTTCTTGGAAATTCTGTGAGCAGAGGCCGCTTAGCAGGGGCAACTGTGTTGACAAAATATTTCACCAGAGAAAGCCATCTTGACCCCTCCCAGGAAAATTTCTTCATCCTGTCTTAGTTTGAGCCAAAAAATACAAACAGCAAAGCCGAAGTGGAATTTCACTTTAATCTTGAGCCTGTCTCTCTAATCATGGTGCTGGCCTTTAAACCAGGCCGAAGCACTTCTTGCCGATTGCTGCAGCAGTTTTTATGACAAGGTTCTTTAATGGTTTCCCACCAGAATTTGAAGTTACAGGACTTCCCTGGTGGTCCAGTGGTTAGGAATCCACCTGCCAAGACAGGGGATGTGGCTTCCATCCCTCATCCAGGAAGATTCTATATGCAATGAGGCAGATAAGCCTGTGTGTCACCACTCCTGAAGTCTGAACGCCTAGAGACCTTTCTCTGCACCTAGAGAAGCCTACGTGGCCCCCACTTGCCACAGCTAGAGAAAGGCCCTGCACAACAGTGAAAACCCAGCATCACCTAAAATAAAAATAAATAAAAAATAAGAAAAGAATTTGAAGCTATAAGTTCAGATATTTCCCTTTTGTCTTTTGGAGGGAAGGTGCAGGGAGACGTATAGGCCCTTGTTACCTCCTCCTCCTTTTTAGAAATAATCTTTCTTGGCCATTTCACAGCGGTCCATAGTTTAATTCATTCCCTTGTTGCATCCTCAGCCTTGGTTGTGCACTTGTGGCAGGGCTTTAGATGCAGAAAGAGTATACCGTCTCGAGAGAAAAAACCATAAAGCACTAAGGCGATGAGACTATCGGTTCTGTGGGGCACAGGAGGATGCCCTTGGCCCAGCTTGTGGGGTGCCATGGGCGGGGCAGGAAGAGCGGTCCAGGAGAAGCATGTACAATTGTCATGAAGAATTGGCAGCCAGAAAGATGTTAAACACATCAACAGGTACTGATGCTGCTTTCCCAGAGCGGGAGCTCTTAGAATTACCTAGCAACAGAAGAGCTCTTCTGTCCTTGAAAAAATTCGAGTTCTAAAGTGATCTTGCACTGAGTTAAACAAAACAGGCCCTTCCCTGGCAGTCCAGTGGTTAAGACTCCTCGCTTCTGATGCAGGGGGCACAGGTTCAGTCCCTGTTGGGGAACTGAGATGCCACATGTCACAGGGAGTGGCCAAAAAATTGAAAAAAAAAACAACCCTATAACCAGCGAGTTGGCAGACACATCTTTGCCCTTCCATACTTTCACGTGTGCTGCCACCCAGAAATCTGCGTAAAGTTAAATAATCTGAGCAGAGCATGTGACATCGACCACTAAACAGGTAATAACATTCATCTCACGGGTTGTTGGGAGGCTTGAATGAAGATAGCTAGAAAAAAAAAGCCTTGCATGTGGCAAGTGCTCGAGCAGTGGTAGTTACAAAGGGAAATGAGAAACTAGGTACAGTTCCATCAGCTGTATTGATTCTGTGAGTTTGTCCTTTCTGCTTAGCTTTGGACCAGCGGTAACCACCCTCCATCATATCCCTAGAGAAAGCCCAGAACTTGCGTCACAGGATGTTGTTTCTTTTGTTTGATGCTTGTGAAAAACAGGGGCACAGGCTACAGGGTGTGGTTATATTATGGTTTTACTGGCACTCACTGTCCTCAGGAGGCCTCTGTCTACCCTCTTCCGAGTGGGCAGACCTCTCCCCTTGTGTGTGCAGGTCACAGGGACACATCCTGCCAGGCTTTGTGGTCTCTGGGGACCGGGAGGACAGGGACCATGGCTGGTGAATGAATGACTTGAAATGAGTCACCTGAGGGGCCCTTGTGCTAAATCCACTCCCTTACTGGTCCGCCCCTACCATCCAGCCTGCAGAGGGGTCCGCCTTGGTACTGTTGAACTTCTGATGTGACCCAGGTGCGCTGTGGCTGCTTTTTATTGTCCTTGACCGACAGACAAGCTCCCACTTATTTTTCCCTCCTGCCCTGTCTTTCCCGGCCTCTGGCTGAAGTCCGCTGACCCGTTGCTCTCGTCACCACTGCCAGACGGTTGCTGCCTCTGCCATTGGTAGGCTTTTCATTTTTCGTCTCTTTTTCCTTTACCACTCCCCTCCCCTGTCATCACCTCCGCCTTTCTCAGCACGTGTGGGGAGTGGCTTCATCTGACCATGCTTGTCTAAACAGGTACCATCTTCCAGGTCTTGATGTTCTGGGACATTTTTGTCATTGCCTGTAGCCCAGGAGGGCTGGTTTTCACTGCTTTCTACTTCAAGTTCAGTTCAGTTCAGTTCAGTCGTTCAATCATGTCCAACTGTTTGCAGCCCCACGAATTGCAGCATGCCAGGCTTCCCTGTCCATCACCAACTCCAGGAGCTTGCTCAAACTCATGTCCATCGGGTCGGTGATGCCATCCAACCATCTCATCCTCTGTCCTCCCCTTCTCCTCCTGCCTTCAGTCTTTCCTAGCATCAGGTTCAAAATTATTCTAAATGTTTGAGGATGCTGGAAGTTTGATTTAAACAAAAATCAAAACAAATTATATCTATTCTGGGGTTAATTACAGTGCTCACTGCATGGAACTGGCTTTTTTTCAGAAATGACTTTTAAAATTTTGTTTTTGATGGTCCATTTCCCAGCTTCACTTTATTTAGTAAAGCTTCATTGCGTTAACTCTGTTAATTCTCACCATCTCAGTGAATATGCTGTGTCCTTCGTTTCATCTAGTGAATACTCTGTCTTTGTTTAAATTCAGTATCTCTTTTTTGATTGCCCCAAACACCGCCTGAAGTCAGGGGACTTCTCCTCCCTGATCTTTGACTGTGGCCTCCATTCTGTCTTGCTGACTGCTGAAGCTTTTCCTGCCACACTTGTTTTAAAGACAAATTGCATATCCATTGGCTTGGAAAGGTGTTAAAATGAGAGGACAGTTGATCTGTTAGACCAGGGAATTAGAAGAGATGCTGAATGTTAGTGAATGAAACCCAGGTTTCATTTCTCGGGGGGCTGGATATCATGGAGGAGATTCCTACATTGGGTGGGCAGGAGGCCCAGTGATGGCAACGTTCCAGCATGGCCACACTCAGATTCCATGACTCACTGTTACAAGGAGAGACCACCTCGTTCTTCAGTCCTTCAGCTCGCTCATCCCCCTCATCCCGCTGGCTCTGCACGTGCCTCCTCTGGGTGTAGTTTTTATTCTTGACTTATCACCCTGACCTGGTCCTGAGGAGGAGTCTTGTGATATGGTCTCGTTAGTTTCTCAGCAGCAGCACCTTCCTATTAGGGATGCAAAGATGGAAATGACCCTCTGACCTGTTTACCGTTCCTTTCACCAAGCTTGGTGTCCTCTCACATACTCTTCTCCTTTTCTCCTTTATGGGAAGTCCCCCCGCCGCCCGACACTAGCCCACCTCCTCTGCCATTTTTTATTTTCTGTAGATGAAAAATTGACTAACTTGCTAGTAGTCAGGGGAGGGTTGGGGAAGGTTGTGGGAGAGGCAGTTGGCCGCTGTCAAAAGCAGCATGTGACCACGGAGCAAGATGAAGCTGCCCGGGATCATGTGAGGCTTAAAAATACTGCTCCCATCAGAGAAGGGACAGCTGAAGGGCTCCTGATATAACAGAAATGGGAAAATTGGGTGGATCTCATTTTTAATTACAGTAAAACAACCTATCTCATCTCATAGACATTTGGCATCTTTAGAAAATTAATACTGTAATCCATCTTACCAGTAACTGTTTATTTTTGGTGATGACAAAAGCTGCTGACTGTTTTTGGAATTGAGAAGAGATGCTGCGGATGGCTGGTACAGACTGCTTGAGAGAAATGAGTGCACTGTACAGGGTGACTCACCTTGATGTGTCCAGTGGTCAGGAAGCATTTGGAAAATCTGTGTAAGGCAGGTGGATGCATAGCTTCCCCGGGGACCATCTCTCATTATGAGTTTGGACATTCCGTGTTAAATGCATATGACGTATAATCCCTTTTAGGGGGATCTCTACCTGGGGTTTCCTGTGTGGATGCTGGTGGCTATACCTGGAACAGAGGGGGAGCAGGTTGGTGAATAATCTAGACATCGTCCTGCTCCTGAGAGCAGATTTCTTAGCATTTCTTAGGATTTCTGCAACCCAGTTATAAACTTCAGGCAACGGCATATTTTGTAAGACTTCAGTACTTTTCACACAGGAAATTTAAGAAGAGTTTGAGTAGAAGATGTAAAGATGCAAAATGATATGCCCTGTGACAGTGGAAATGGAGAGTGTGATGGTATTGACTTTCTTGCACTCTTTTCCTCTCATGTTCACTTAGAAACCTGATGTCCTGACCACTGGAGGTGGTAATCCAGTAGGAGACAAACTCAATATTCTTACGGTAGGGCCCCGAGGGCCCCTTCTTGTTCAGGATGTGGTTTTCACTGACGAAATGGCTCACTTTGACCGGGAGAGAATTCCTGAGAGAGTTGTGCACGCCAAAGGAGCGGGTGAGACCTGTGTTCATTTGCTGTGAAAGAACTGTTTCATAACACCTGGGTTAAAAATTACTTCTCAAAGGATCAGAGTTCCTTTAAGAGAAGTGCCAAATTTCCATTCGTTGGAGAAAGGCAAAAATGTCCGTCAATAGAGAGTCAGTAATTAAATGATGGTTATTTCCCTGGATTGTACCTTCCATGTAAAATACTTAATTTTGCTGAAAACAAAAGTAATCTTCCTTTTAGTCCATTATACAGTTTAGTAAAGAATGAAAAATATGGATATACAGACATAGACATACTATAATTATAACTGGATTAAGATGGTGCACCTAACTGGATAAATACTGGAATTAACTGCAAAGTCAATGACAGTTGTGTAAATGTGCTGGGTTTGTAGTGGTTTTTCCATTTTGTCCAAAGCTTCTGTAAAACTTTTATCTTGCTTTTATTACAGAAACAAAAGATGTAGATGGTATTTAAAAGAAAGCTAAAAACTCAAAAGGAGGGACTTCCCTGGCAGTCCAGTAGTTAGGACTCCAAGCTTTCAATGCAGGAGGTCTGGGTTCCATCCCTGGTTGGGGAGCCAAGATCTCAAATGCCACATGACATAGCCGATAAATAAATAAATTACTTAAAAATTGTGAATCTTTAAAAAAAAAACACAAAAAACAACTCAAGAGGAAAAACCAAGTTTGATAGAAAGGAAGAAGTTTTGTTGGACTCCCCTCTAGGACGTCTCAGTTTCTTTATTTCCTCTTCTACCTTCTGCAGCTTGTTTTGTGGGGCTGTCCCGTCATGACTTTGATACACTGTTCAGTTTGTTGTTTGGCTGTGTGGCGAGCTTGCTGAGCGCGCAGCCTTTCTGTGTGTTTTCTCCTCCTCTCCGCTCTGTGCTTCCTCTCCTTGGTCCTACTTGGACCTGAGGGCGTCTCAGACCCTGTGTCCTCCTGGCAGCCCTGACTAGTTCCTCCTGGCTCCGCTCCACCCCTCTTTGGCTCCGGCTCTGGAGCTCTCAGCTTAGCCCTGAGTGATGTAGGGCTTTGCATTTTGCTCTCATCATTTTATGTTTGGCGATCTCCCCTTCTCCCATCATTGGAAGCTCCCAGAAGGCCAGTGCTAAGTCACCGGTTTCTCTCGTCACCCAGATCCCTATTGAGGGCCTGGCAACCTGAGTGATAGTCTCGTGATGCCCATTTCGGTGGCTTTCTCCTTAGGGGCTTTTGGCTACTTCGAGGTGACACATGACATCACCAGATACTCCAAGGCGAAGGTGTTTGAGCACGTGGGAAAGAGGACGCCCATTGCAGTTCGCTTCTCCACAGTTGGTAAGTGGGTCTCTTTGCATTACTGGTGTTGCTTGACTCAACCCTGTATTTTATCTGAGGCATTTATAGCTTAGTTCCCGGAAAAAACTTGCTAGACAATAGGAAACAAGCAGTTCTCCAAAGTATAGCAACATTTTAGAGTAGAAAAAATATTTTAAGACATGTAGAAAGCTACTTATATTTCTGTTTGTTGAGAGGTCTTAGGAAATCACACACGCAGAGCTCACGCCTGCAACTCTGTGACATTTGGAAAGAGTTTCGTGTGAGTGGTTGCCTCAAACGGAACATGAAGTGGCAGTCTTACTCAATAGCCATGAGAACAACTGCCCTTTATTGAGGGTTAACTGTGCCATCCATGGTTAGTGTTGTACTGATACTGCTTATAATCTGTAGATGTATTAATGCTTTGCATGGTGGGGTTATTTCTGTTTCTGAGAGAGTGATTTTTCTCATGTTACAGAGCTGGTCAGAGTGAGAGCTATCAAATTGCATCTCAGCACACCACAATGCCTGATTAATTCTGCCTCTGCATTAGTCTGTGTTTGTGCATTTTTATAATACTGTGAAATGCAAAAGGAAATGAAATTAAGGATAAAAATTTTTGTCTTGACTCATTTTCTTAATATTAACCTCATAATTTTGACAACTTGCTTATTCTTTGTTCACTGCCTTAACCTTCATAATGATTCTCTTTCCTTATTTTACTTCAATTTTTAATTACCTGTTTGAACAAAGCTATCTTCGCTTATTTTAATTTAAATTTTAATTACCTGTTTGAACAAAGTTATCTTATTACATTAAATGGATAATCTTTTCAGCTGTTATTATATATACTTTCTAATTTCTCTCAGCTAATTTCTTTGTTTACTTTTTCAGTTGAAATTAGCTGGTGGGTAGTAGAAATAATAACCCAGGCACTTAAATACCTAATGTACTTCTAGAAGTTGGGAAGGATAGATCCCAGTGTTTTTATGACTTGAGGCTTCCTGGATGCAGAGTACTGTAGTGGAGGCTTGATTTTCCCCGTTTGAATCTTCTAGCTGGAGAATCGGGCTCAGCTGACACAGTGCGTGACCCTCGTGGCTTTGCAGTGAAATTTTACACAGAAGATGGTAATTGGGATCTCGTTGGAAATAACACCCCTATTTTCTTCATCAGGGATGCCCTATTGGTAGGTGATGAATTATTTCACACCCTGCAGATATTTGTTGATTTAAATTGACTTCAAATACTCCATATAGATTGGCATTTGAGGGAAAGCAGAAAGAAGGGAACATAGATTGGGATTGGCTGGATTGCCTTTTACATTTTTTTCTGTTTTTTCTTTTTTTATAAGGTCAGATTACAACAATTATCATTAGTCTTAGCTGGGCATTTTGGGGTTCACTGACTTGATGGGAATGATCCAGTTTTCCTTACAGCACTTGGAAAAATGAATAAAAAGAGGCAGTCTGCTCAAAAACGTGTAGAGAGTCAATTTCATTTTAGGGTTTTACAGCTTAAAATTTTAAAATTGTAGTGTTCAAAATGATAATCTGTAAACCTAACAATAGGCAATGTATGACACCATAATTCCTGTAAACTTAATTTTTGGATTTTTTCCCTCTCTTTTTCCGTTTAGTTTCCGTCCTTTATCCACAGCCAGAAGAGAAACCCTCAAACACACCTGAAGGATCCGGACATGGTCTGGGACTTCTGGAGCCTGCGTCCTGAGTCTCTGCATCAGGTGGGAAGGCCTCTTTTTTTCACTATGTCGCCAAATAAGGAACTGTTAATTATACCTCATATAGTTTTCTCCAGTTTTGGATATTTTATTAGAATTGATTTTTGACTTTCTTTTGGGGAGCCTTCCTCAGATTTCTTGGTCCTTGAAGAGTTTTATAATGACATTTTCATCTTTCCCCATTCATGGACCTTACCTGATACTAGAACCATTATCAATTGATATTTAACAGTATTAAGGATTAAAGTTTCTTGTAGGAAGTCTCTTTGTATTAGGGAAATGAGGGGAAAGTAGTACCAAACAAATTTTCTGTTAAATTAGAATGTGAACAAGTCAGGCTAGTTTTCAGATTTGTTTTAGCTTTTCTGTATAGAATTTTGAGTCAGGACATTAGTGACTTATGTTTAATCTTTCTGCTTTAAAATCTGTTTGATATTTTTTTCAAATGGCAACCCTTCCTGTGAGCTGATATGTTCCATGTCATTAAGAGATCTTTCTGGAAACTTAGGACTGTCTTAAAATTATGTTTTTGATTTAAACTGAATAATTTGACCCTTGATTTTTCTGTTCCTTAGGTTTCCTTCCTGTTCAGTGATCGAGGGATTCCAGATGGACACAGGCACATGAATGGATATGGATCGCATACTTTCAAGCTGGTTAATGCAGATGGAGAGGCAGTTTATTGCAAATTCCATTATAAGGTACAGATCACCTTTGGCGAAGGGGGTGGAAGGCTCCTACCACCCACGTCTCCTTACTTCTCCTGAGGATTGGGCAAGGATCAAGGCCTGGCCTTCTCCACCTTCCCCTTACCTCCACCCCCAAGAATGTCAAGTATTGATCTGGTTGATTAGGACTGTGATTATCTTATTGGCCACTGCCTGAGTAAACACTCAGGCTACCCAGTTAGAACAAGGTAGTCTCTCTTTGGTCTCTTCATGTGGCTGAGGGTCTGAGCAGACAGATGCTATCGGTAGTCAGGCTTTTTCTTCCTGGACCCTGGGAGCTCTGCCATAAATATTTGGGCAAGTGCTCATTTTGTGCTGGCTCTCTAGTTTAACATTTCTGGTGCTGGCAGGTGCATACTGATATATATATATTTTTTTTCCCCTGGAGAAGGAAGATCTAAGGTTTTAGATCAAAAATAAAGAGATAATAGAGGCCTCCAAGCTAGGTAAAAGGAAATTCCTCCCTGGTTTAGCCTAGAGTTCTTTGTTGGAGTTTAGAGTCAGGTGTTAGCAAATAGTCAGGTGTTACGTTTTTGCTTTACCTTTCCTAGCCCTGAGTACATTGTTCTGAGTACAGATACTTTTGGGGTCCAGGAGGGCTTTAAGACAGAATTGGGACATTCTTGTTTGTAATAGCAATCTCTTTCTAATTTTCAACATCTGATGCTGTCTTTTCAAAAATATTTCTCCTCACTTTTAAATTCATCCATCTATTTTTTTTAAAGGATTTATTGTGAACACCACACATAAAAAAATCAGTTAGAAATTTCAGGGAACAAAAATTGTTTTTTTCTTTCATAAATGAGATTTTTATTGGTTGTTTTGAGGATTAGTACACAGACATTTCAATTTGTACACAATTGTAACATATGTACCAAAAATCTAAAAAAATCATGTAGTTGTGATTCTTTTCTAAATGTTTCAGTGATTTTCTGGCTTAAAATTTGGAGGCAAATTTTCCTTAATGGGATGTCAAGTACCAATATCTTCAAATGTTAATATGCTGTTATATCATAAGTCCCACTAATTCACAATTTAATATCATATACTACATACTTGAATTTTCAGTCATTCACGTTAACAAAGTTACTGGGAAAACTGGACTTCCACAACCAAAGATGTTATAGGGTGCATAGGATTCTGACAAGGAGAGCCAAGATCAAGGAGTGGTTTGCTTTATTTAGGGAATAGTTCTACCAGAAACAACATAGGAGAGGTGATTTAAAGTGCTCAAGACATTAAGTGCTCAACTAACTCCAAAGTGCTATATAGTATGCTTTGCATTATAGGATAGAAAAGCTATCCCCATTTATGGAGTTGTTAAGCTGACACCCAAGACAATCAAAGCCTCCCATATTCAGTACCCCACTATTTTCTGGTTGTACCAAAAAAATAACCAACCAGCAAATGATCTTATTTTTTTTTTTAAAAAAGCATTTACACTTAAAAAAATTGGATGAGGTGGGATACTTTCCTCTTTTTTTTTTTTTAAAACATCTATTTACTTCTTTGGCTGTGCTGGGTCTTTGTTGTGGCGCATGGGCCCACTAGTTGTGGCAGATGGACTTAGTTGCCCCACAGCATGTGGGATCTTAGTTCCCCGATCAAGGATTGAACCCACATCCCCTGCATTGTGAGGTGAATTCTTAAATACTGGACCACCAGGGAAGTCCCAAGATTCCCTCCTTCTTAAAACTATTTCTAAAGCTACTAAAAAACTTGAATTTACCAAATAGTTGATTAAAAAAAAATCCCTCTGGATTGTACAAGAAGGGAGACAGGGACCACTGATAGGACTGGATGTGTGATATTAATCAGACTTGGCTTCTCTCTCTCCTGCTGCATCAGAGGCTGGGCTCTCCTCATTTTTTAGTGTCTCCGTTTTCTGCAGGTAAATCATCATCTTTAGTTTCTGGGTTAGCCACTTTGTCCTGTTTTCCCTTTGCTCCTCCCCGTTAGCCTTTTGTTGGCACGTTTTTGTCTGAAGATTTATCCTTTTCTGCTGCCTTTTGGGGCTTCATTTCCACTCTTGCAGGAGCAGGTTTAGCTGACAGCCTTGCAGATCTCTTGGGCTCCTCATTCTCCCCACCGCTCCCCAGCTTCTGAGCTGACCTTCCTCATGGCAGCAGTGGGAGCTGGGGAGGTGTGCTGCTCCTCCAGCCCAAAATTTCTGGTTTTTTTTTTTTTTTTTCATTTGCTTTCATACAGTCAGATCATATCAGTTACTTTGGGGGAATATTTTGAGAATCTTTTAATTGAGGTATTTCACGGGTTCTCTTTAGTATGACTTTGATGTTGGTTAGAATAAGTAATATTGCCAGAGAACTCTAGAAGGTTATTTTAAAAACCTCTGGTTGCTGAAGAACTTGTTTCCAAATACTGCTGCTAAAATAAGCAGACAGAAGTGGACTCATGACATATATAGGCTCCCACTTAATGATATCCCAAGGATCTATTTTCTTCTGTCCTATTTAACCATTATCTGAACAGCTTAAGTGGGTGTATCAAACAGGAAAACTGTCATCCCTGTTTATATTTATGACTTGGATCTATAACCTTTGGCAAGGAACAGTTACAAGAAACGGTTAACCCATTGGCTTGTAATTGCCGAAAGAAGAAGCGTAGTGTCACTTTGAGCAAGACTAAGTGATTGTATCTGGGACAACTAGTGTGGTCGTGGCTTTGCAGTTAGAACAATCTGAACTCCCATCTTCTTTCTTCTAGATAATTGTCTCTTGGCACATTATTAAAGGTTCTTTGAGCTCCAGTTTAGTCATGGTGAAATTGGGTAATAGTGCCAGCTGTCAGTGGCCTTGGAAAGATTGAGTTGCTTACTGGTCTGTTCAGCTGAGGGCTCTGAGGTAGCATGGGATCTAATAGATTCATCAGTTTGGATTGTTCTGACCTAAGGTCATGTGTTTCTAAACCCAGGGGATTCAGTTAAAATCAGAAAGGTATTGCAATAATATTGTACAATTTAGTGTATTAGCTGGGTGATCTGTAGATGGTGACTTCCATTTTCTAATTCTGAAGATATAACAGGGTGAAAAAAATCTTGCCACTGGCTAGAGAGAGCTGGGATTTCCATGGTAGACATTGGCCAGCCTTCTAGAGGTGACTTTCGCAAAGGAAATATTTACGTGGTATCTGACTTGTTGGAGATCTTTCAAAATAAGATAGCGGTGGGAACTCTATTAAAGAGCAGGATGGGATGATAATAGGAGCTCTGGTGAAAGTGACTTAACGTCTTTGGGTCTTAATGGCTTGTTTGAAAGTCAGAATATTAATACTGTTGGGTTGACCGAAAAGTTCAGTTGGGTTCATCTTATGGAAAGACTCGAATGAACTTTATGGCCAACCCAGTACTTTCGGTTGCTCATAGTTGGTGAACTGCTTGAGTGGCTTTACTGGATTTCTTTTCAGCTCTATAAACTGATTCTATGATTTCTTTAAAAAAAGTTAAAAAAGGAAGAGAGTTGGGTAGAGGGATACTAGCTGAGCACAATCTCAGTAGTTGGTTTGAGATATTATAAGACAGGGAATTTAAAAAATTACTTCATGCAAAAAAAGGAGGAAAGTCCTTTAATTTTATTAACCATTTGCTTACTTTTAAAATATATTTTGATTTTCTTTTTTCTCTGATCTGAAATAGCATGAGTATAAACATTCAAATAGTAGCCACTCTGGAAAACAGTTTTGAAATTTCTCAAGAAATTAAACATAGAATTACCATATGACCCAACAACTCCATTTATGATATGTACTCAGAGAAATCCACTGACTTGAACACTTTAAAATGGTTAAAATGATAAATTGTATGTTTTGTATACTTTATAGCAAAAATTGTTTTGGCTTGTCTGAAGACAGTAATGTAGCATTTTCTATATGAGTGAAACATTGAAAGTGAACTATATGTCAACAATTTAAAAAATTCAAAAAAAAATTCAAATAATGTGGAATAAATAAAGGGAAAGAAAGACTAATTTTAAATATAAAATGTGTAGGCAGATTCCCTGGACATTGAAAAGAATCAGGATAAGCAAATAGAATTTCTTACTGATCAATTCATACATGTGTCAGATTTGAAGAGGGGAGCTACTGTTACAAGGAAAATCCAGTCTTTGGATAGTGTCACTCATAATCCCTCAATGAATTACTGATTGAAGTTTGATAACTTTGCCAGTAAATTTCAGTTTGAGCTTCTTTGTTTTCTCCTGTAGACTGACCAGGGCATCAAAAACCTTTCTGTTGAAGATGCAGCAAGACTTTCCCACGAAGATCCTGACTATGGCCTCCGTGATCTTTTCAATGCCATTGCCACAGGCAACTACCCATCCTGGACTTTATACATCCAGGTCATGACATTTAGGGAGGCAGAAAATTTTCCATTTAATCCATTTGATCTTACCAAGGTGAGTCAGTTAACAACTAGATTGTTTTCTTTTTAAAGTGTCTTCACACCTAATTTAAAAAATTTGTAGTCAAGCGTTTATAAATTGTGTACAAAACAGTTGGTGTCACCTAAGAGTTTCCTAGCCTGTGAATGAGGGCTCACCAGCATCTCCCTTCCAGTTCCTGTCTGATAACTTTACTGAGCTCATCTGGGTGGCCTGATACATTGTTATTAGCAGGGAGCAAATTTTGATGAGGTGATGTACTTTTGCCCAGGGAAAATGTCAATATTTACTCCTGTTTACTGTTGCAAAAGATTCAACCAATGCACTCACATTAAGTTCTTACCATTTTATTAGATTCACAATGTTATTTTCACTTATTATCATTGGCTTCATTGTATTTGAAAGCTGATATTTTTATGAGTACTTTAATTTCCTTCTGTTTGTTGTCTGGTAATTGTGAATATGACATTATTTTTAGGTTTGGCCTCACGGCGACTACCCTCTTATCCCAGTTGGTAAACTGGTCTTAAACCGGAACCCAGTTAATTACTTTGCTGAGGTTGAACAGTTGGCTTTTGACCCAAGCAACATGCCGCCCGGCATCGAGCCCAGCCCCGACAAAATGCTCCAGGTAAACCTAGTTGATCGAGAGGTTCTGAGGCAGGAGTGTGTGTACATGCCTGTGTGACCTTGCACGGGTGCGTGTGCGCACGCACACACACACACACACACACACACAGAGTGTAATTTGGCTTGATCTTTATATGAAGAATTAACTAGGACATCACTTAAACCTTGGTCTGGGTCTTTAGTTCCTGTGGGACTGAATGAAACATCCTTAAATGAGTGTTAACAGGATAAAACAAATTTCATAGTGAGTCCCTCAATATGGTAACTTTGATATTTAGGCTCTTAATTTAAAAGAAGTTGTAGCAGAAATACCTTAGGTATTTGTGGGATATTCTTTTTCAGTCTGTAATCAGGATGGGGAATACCCTTAATTGGTATTTCTCATGTAAAGAGAAAATGATGGCATGTGTTAAAAGAGACCCAGAGGTGATTTTTACAAGCTCAGTTTATGTTTCCATTGATTAAAGGCAGTGGGTTTTACTGTTTGTTTTGGTAATGTTCCTGCTGCTGCTGCTGCTAAGTCACTTCAGTTGTGTCCGACTCTGTGCGACCCCATAGACAGAAGCCCACCAGGCTTCCCCATCCCTGGGATTCTCCAGGCAAGGACACTGGAGTGGGCTGCCATTTCCTTCTCCAATGCATGAAAGGAAAAGTGAAAGTGAAGTTGCTCAGTCGTGTCCAACTCTTAGCGACCCCATGGACTGCGGCCTACCAGGCTCCTCCATCCATAGGATTTTCCAGGCGAGAGTACTGGAGTGGGTTGCTATTGCCTTCTCCGGTAATGTTCCTAGGCATTCAGTATTTTTTCACCTCTTTCCAGTATGTTTTTTCAAGAGTACAAAGAGTAAAACATTCTTATCTGGATCAGAAATTAATGGGGAAATAACTGGCTTAATAATTATTGAGTAAGTCAATTTTTTGTGTTTTTAGACTATGATCATGGTACAAAAGTTAAAGTTTTTACCCAAGATCAGACCACAGTGACTGACGGCTATTTCTTACGTAAGCGTCCAATTCCAATTTAGGTGCCACTGTCCACGGAGGTGAACTAAGTTTCCTTTGTTTTTTTAAAATAGTGATTTTTTTTTGCTTTGACATTGGGAACATTTGAACCTTTTATAGAAAATAAATTTATATTAATTTTTAATTTAATTTGACTGCTGTGAGTTGAATACCTGTCTGCTGATAGATTGTTGTGGCTGCTGTAACAGGAGGCCATACAACAGGGAAGGACTGTTGTACTTAGTCAGCCTTTTGATGAGCATTTAGGAATTGTCCAAGGTTTCTTGAGTAGGTTAGTAATAGAGTCTGTGTGGGGCCTTAGGAAGAGTCTTTTGGCAGGAATATGTAGGGTGATGTTGTTGGAGGATGGCTTGGAAAAGGAGAGCCAGGGAGCAGGGCTTGGAAATTACTCTGATGGGAACTAACGCATGACCAGGTGGTAGTCATTGTACAGTAATGGACAGTGTTTTCAGTTGCCTTTCAACATTATTGTTGAAAGGCAACACATTATTAAATTTTAAAGCTTTGGGATGCATGGTGAAAAGCACTCAGTAGTATAACGTGAGTCCCAGAGACTGTCCCCTGAGTACCTGGTGATGCAGGGGCAGCCTTTCTTCCCGCCCATGCCTCACAGTTTATCAGGAGTGGAGAAGTTGACTGCTGGAGTGGGAGAGCTTTGCTCTGTTTCCTCACCCCAGCCCAGCAAGGAGCTCGGGCACAGGGCCCTGGGGAAGGCCTTCATTCAAGTTGGGGTCAGGGTGTGGCCTTGCTATATGCATTTCTCAGCCTTGGCTTGGCAGGTCTCTACCTGCAGGTGGGATGGGGATGCCTTATAAACACAAGGTGACACAAAACCAGAATAAAACAGAGGCTGTATCCAGGAGCTGCTGATGGCTCAGCTGTATCTTCTGTCCCATTGGTATAGTTAGAGCACATCTTAGTCCGCTTTGGGCAGGAGGAGGCAACCAGCATCCCAACTACAGGTGCTTTTGTTCATGGTTGCATGGCCAGTCATCTGAATATTACTTTATTTTTAATATTTTTAAAGATTTTTTTAAAAATGTGGACCATTTTTGAAGTCTTTATTGAATTTGTTACAGTATTGCTTCTGTGTTCTGTTTTGGTTTTTTTTGGTCGAGAGGCATATGGGATCTTAATAGCTCCCCAACCAGGGATCGAACCTGCACCCTCTGCATTGGAAGATGAAGTCTTCACTAGACTGCTGGGGAAGCCCCTGAATATTACTTTAGCCTCATGATTATAGGGGGTAGAGCCACTCAGCCAAGAGCAGATTATGGACGGAACAGCAAGACTGGACTAAGCATGTTGGCCTGAGTGATTTGGTACAAAATAATCACATCAGTGGCCCTGTTCAACTTGATTTGTGTTTTTGCTGGCCCATGGAATTAGTGATATAAGAATATTCTTTCAGGCTTCCCTGGTGGTTCAGTTGGTAAAGAATCTGCCTGTAATGTGGGAAGACCTAGGTTCGAGGCCTGGGTTGGGAAGAAGGGAATGGGTTGGAAGGGAAAGGGTTGGAAGAAGAAGGGAATGGGTACCCACTCCAGTTTTCTTGCCTGGAGAATTCCATGGACACAGGAGCCTGGCAGGCTACAGTCCATGGGATTTCAAAGAGTCAGACATGACTGAAGTGACAGCATACACGCACGCTTGAATATTCTTTCAGATTCAAGGCCAATAATAAAGTCAATTAAAGAAACCTGCTTGTGAGTAGAGCTTTGAATAATGAGAATATTTAAATAATTGGATACTAAGATTTATATGGAGTTAATCATCAAGGTTTTTGTTTCAACACTAATTGAAAGAAATTGCACAACCTCCTGCCTTGGTAAATATGTGATTTAGTTTAGTCTTGATTCAGGGCCTTGTGTCATTGTAGGGCCATCGTCCCATACCATGACTTTCTTTATGTGGTACCTTGTTAATATTTAGAAAGTCTCAGAGCTCACAGTGTATCTGACATAAACCAGGCTGCAACACAAAAGGTGGTTTTTTTTTTTTTTTTGAATAATTTCCCGTCCAGTTGGTTTTGGAGAAATCTGCTTCTTTTTGTTAAGAGCAAATGGTTGACCCCTCCCCTGGAGTGAGAGAGTGGGAAGGAATGGAGTTAGTTTATGACTCCAGTTAGTCGGGTTCTAGCAAGTCTGTTTTGCAGTGTAATGTATTCTTGGAAACAAGAAATCATTTTTATTTCTTGCTTATTTTTTTATATTTTGGCTGCATCACTTACCATGTGGGATCCTAGTTCCCCAACCAGGGGTCACACCTGTCCCCCTTGCATTGGAGTCTTAACCCCTGGGTTGCCAGGGAAGTCCCCGGAATAAGAAATAATTCAAGCCTGGGCACTAACTTATTGTTTGAGGAAAAAAGGAGTTACGATCGAGGAGAGATGTGAAGATTTGTGGCTCTTTGGCTGCACGATGTGGAAGATTAAGGACTGTTCAGTTAGGGAGCGCTCATTTCGTGAGAGAGAAGAAACTTTGGTCTTCAGTGGGCAGACAGTCAGAGCTCTGGGGTCCTTTGTGTTTGACCCTTGCCAGTGAAGTTCATGGGCAGTTTTTCTCTTTTGTCTGTTACTGCGCATTGTCAGCATCTGTTCCCTTTGTACCCGCAGGGCCGCCTTTTCGCCTATCCTGACACTCACCGCCACCGCCTGGGACCCAACTATCTCCAGATCCCGGTGAACTGTCCCTACCGTGCTCGAGTGGCCAACTACCAACGCGACGGCCCCATGTGCATGATGGACAATCAGGGTACGCCTCAGAAGGTGGCTCGCTCCGAGGGTGCCGGGGGCGCTGCCGGGCAGGGGTTGGGGCGCCCCGTCAGCCCAGGGGTGTTCAGGCTGCCCAGGGACATGCTGCTTGTGCCCACCACGTATCTCTTGCCCAGCAGTGAAGGTTTCAGCTGCCTGGGGACCCTCTCTACTTTTATCTATTTTATATGTTTTATTGAGAGTTCCCAGCTCAGATTTTACTTGCTGTCCATCTGACAGTGAAAGGCAGGGAGAAAGATCTTTCACACTGGCTGTTGGCAGGGTATTATGCAACTTATGGAGCAGGTTTTTTTTTTTTTAAATTAATTAATTTTATCACTGACATTGATTTTGCTGTGTTTCTTGCCAGTCTTTTCTGAGAATATTTGTTACACATTTAAGATTAGCTTCCCGGGTGGCTCAGATGGTAAAGAGCCTGCCTGCGATGCAGGAGACCTGTGTTCAATCCCTGGGTTGGGAGGATCCCCTGGAGAGGGAAATGGCAACCCACTCCAGTCTTCTTGCCTGGAGAATCCCATGGACGGAGGAGCCTGGTTGGCTACAGTCCATGGGATTGCAAAGACTTGGACACGACTGAGCAACTAACACACAAGATTAGCTTATATATAATTTTGTGCCTTGCATTTTGTTACGATTATTATCATTAAGCCTCTTCCAAGTATTCAACAAGTTTACATGTTCACTAACTGAGTGTATTGGGTGGTTGCAGTATTTCTGTGCTCTGAGGCTTAACATGTTCATGTATAATTGCCCAAAGTAATTGATACTTCTCTGTCTGTCTTCTGTGTTTTTATCCTAAAGTGATTTTTTTTTTCACTAATATTCCTTGATTTTTTTTTTGTTGAGACTGGTAGTATTAAGTGAAAGTTGCTCAGTCTTGTCTGACTCTTTGCTACCCCATGGACTGTGCAGTCCATGGAATTCTCCAGGCCAGAATACTGGAGTGGATAGCCTTTCCATTCTCCAGGGGACCTTCCCAACCCAGGGATTGAACCCAGGTCTCCCGCATCGCAGGTGGATTCTTTACCAACTGAGCTATCAGGGAAGCCCGGCCATATTAAAGTGGTTCATGTATATTTTGGGATGTCATTAATAAGTAATTGCTTTGTGTTTACTGTTCTTGTTTACTATTACAGTGGTGTACATATGAAGAAACTACTTTGACATACCTTTTGCCCAATTTTAAAAGTAGAACATTTGAACTGTCCCCTTGCAGCTTAATGAAAAAGCTTGATCTTTCACAATAGTCAGTGACTTGAGGCCAACTATGACTTTGAGTAAAGGTCAGAGCTTATTTGGAAATAAAATTTTAAAGTTACTCAAAGTGGCACAGTTCAAAGAACTAATTCTTAGTACAGAAAATCACTGTGATGGCTCGTTACCAGAGAACTTTGCTTTTCACATGGATGTGGCTGACCTGGAATTAATTTCTTGGGCTGGTAACTGGACTCCATGGGAGTGGTGCCCCTGTCTTCCTATGTGCTTTTGACTCCTTTGTCAGTGTGATATACAGTGTGATGTATCCACCCAGAATTGTCTATTCCAGCAGGGACCTGGGTAAAATTCTAAACCTAGACTGGTTTGTTCAAACCACTTGCTAAGTTTTTTCAAGCCATCCTTTCTGTTTAGGCAGTGTGTACTCAGATAATGCAAGTTTCTGTTAACATCAGCTGAAGCAGAGTATAGTTGGGAAAATAAACATGCCAAAAGGAAAAAAAAAGCCTTATAATTTATTCCAGAAGTCTTAATACATGTTTTGATTGCATTTGTCATTATTTTTCCTAAGTCCAGAGAAATCAGTGGTGACACATTAGAAATATCAAAGTTAAAAAAAATATTTAAAAAATGTATCTGTAGAGAGAAGCAAAAGTAAAGCTGTTGGGTTGGTTGGCCAAAAAGTTCATTTGGGTTTTTCTGTAAGATGTTAAACGGAGAACCCAAACAAACTTTTCTGGCCAGTCCAATAGAATTAAATAAAGTCGTAGTCAGTAAAGGAAAGATACCCCAAGCATCTTAAACACCTTTAAGAAATAGTGAAGTGGAGGCCTGTGATGGGAATGTAGTATGTGCTGGAATGGAGAAGTCAAAAACTCCAGATTCCGGACCCAGCGCTGACCACGACATCACCCTGCAGCAGTCAGCGAGCATCTCAGGGCTCAGTCCGTGTGTCTGGCGACTGAAAGAGCAGAGCTGGAACTTTGAGCTGCTCCCAGGAATTCTGTGATTCCACGTTTGAACTACGCCCAGGCCCAATTGAAACCCTCCATTTTGAAATGTGTCTGTGGGTGTCATCTTCTATGGGGCCAAACCAAACTTATATACGTATATTTGTCCTGGAAAGCATCAGAAGATTGTAGAGATGGGGCCATCTGAGTGTTCAAAGGGAACTTGAGATCTCTCCTGTGTAGACGCAGAGGGAGACGGACATGCGAGCAGATGACAGTGTTCTCTAAGAATCTGGGTGCTGTTTATAGCCAAATATGGGGAGTTAAAAACAATATGTGCATGGCATCACACACATATATATAATTGTCACTTGAATTTGTTTCTTATTTTGTTGTCTATTTGTAGACTTCATTTTTCATCTCCCCAAGTGAATGTATGTGGTTTTCCTTTAAAGGTGGGGCTCCCAATTACTACCCCAATAGCTTTAGTGCTCCCGAGCATCAGCCCTCTGCCCTGGAACATAGGACCCACTTTTCCGGGGATGTACAGCGCTTCAACAGTGCCAACGATGACAATGTCACCCAGGTAATGGCTCCTTTGTCTGTTGTGAGAGTTGCTTGGTCCTTCTTCTCAATGTCTGCATATATTCCCCTTTTAAAGTGTCTAATATGTCTCAAATTGAATTCAGGGACAGCATCTTTATTCATAACTCAGTTCCTGTATTAGATGGAGTTGAAAATAGAGTCTCAGATTATCTCTTTTTTTCATATGCAGATATCCAGCATTCAGTACTAAATTGTCAGGCATACCCAACGCTTAAGACCTCATATCTGAAAAATCAAGAGGGAGAAAGAAGCAAAACAAAATTGGCAGTAGAAGCAAACCTGCTAGAGATCCAGATAGTGAAATTGTCAGATACAGGTTTTAAAATAACTGCAAATAATATTTTTAGGAAAATAGAAAAGAGATGACAACATGGAGCATTATTGAGAATTTTAATCTATCAAAAAAGAAATGAGAGAACATCCCTAGCAGTCCAGTAGTTAAGGCTCTGCATTTCTACTGCAGGGTGTGTAGGTTCGATCCCTGGTTGGGGAACTAAGATCCCTCAAGCTGTGCAGTGTGGCCAATAAAATTAAATTAAATTTAAAAAATTGAATGGACATACTGAACTGGAAAATGAACAACTAAAGTTAAGCATTTAGTAAATGAGTTTAAAAGGTGATTAAACATAACTGAAGAGAGGATTACTGAACTGGCAGACAGAGCAGTAGATGTTATCAAGACTCACTCATGAAGGGAGAAAAAAAGAACTTCCCTTTGTTATGAGAAACCATTTAGAGATTGAGAATACAGGCCACAGTTTGCTTTCCTCTAAATAACAAACAACACATGTACAGTACATATAAGGAACTTCCACACAGCAAGAAGAAAAAGTCAGACAAATGAATATAAAGAAAAATGGGCAAAAGACTTGAATAGGCACTTCACAAAAGAAGTATCCAAATGACTGGAAAACATACAGAAAGGTCATTTATTTCACTAGTCATCAGGAATATACAAAATAAAACTAAAAAGAGGCACTACTACAAATGCACAAGAATGATGAGGCTTAAAAAGACTGTGTACCAAGTATTTGTAAAATAAGAAACAGCTCTCACATAAGTGTAAATTGGTTCAAGTGTTTTGGAGACCTGGTTGTCAGTATCCACTGAAGCTAAACATGTACGTGTCTTTTGACCTAGTAAGTGCACTCTTAAACATAGATTCCAAATAGAAATGTGTACATATGCGCAGCAGGAGACAGGTACAACAGTTTGTTCATGTCATCTAAGTGTTCATCAACGAAAGCTTGGATAAATAAACCGTAGTATATTCCCACAGTGTACAGCAGCGAAAACTAATGAAGTATTCCAACAAGCAGTAACACAGATGAATCTTACAAACTTGAAATTGAACAATAGAATGAGAATATAGACCACGTGATTCTGTTTGTGTACATTTCCAAGAGAAGTAAAGAGAAACATTTATAATAATAGAAGTAAAACGATTGGGGAGTCAGTTGGAGAAGGGGGACTGGGAGGAGGGGTATGGTAGGGGCATTTCTGAGATGTGAGTGGTGTTCTCTCTTGATCTGGGTGGTTGTGACACATCAGTGTCCCCTGAAAAATCACAGTGAACTTCACACTTATGTTTGGTACCCTTACTGCAGACATATTACACTTAAAAAGAAAAAAAAGTCATTCTCTCATTTTGTGTAGACTATTAAAAATGTCACTTTTTCGTTAATAGGAATTTGGTCCTGCTCTTAAAGGTCTGTGGTTAAAGTTTTGGAGTGGGTAGATTAGCTCAGCATCCTCATCTGGTTATAGAGTGGAACAGCTGTCTCCTCTGTGGAGTCCATGCCCTCCTATAGCGAGCAGCCGAGCTGTGTGTGATTGGTGGTGGTTAGCCAGGCATGTGCTGTGCTGGGCTTAGTTGCTCAGTCGTGTCCGCAACACGGGATTCTCCAGGCAGAAATACTGGAGTGGGTTGCCGTTTGCTACTCCAGGAGATCTTCCCGGCCCAGGGATCGAACCCAGGTCTCCCAAGTTGTGGGCAGATTCTTTACTATTTGAGTCATTAGAATTTATGATGTGGCCATTCAGACTGGAGTGGGGTGATACCTCATTGTAGTTTTGATCTGTATTTCTCTAATAATTAGCAATGTCCAGCATTTTTTTCATGTCTGTTGGCCATCCGTATATCTTCTTTAAAGAAATGTCTAATTAGATCTTCCCACATGCAGTACTTTGATTGGATTATGTTAATACCTAAAACTAAAGATTTGTAAACTTTAATACAAGATTTAAAGTTTGCTCAAATTTTAAAAATAGTATTATATTCTGATGTTTGGTAACTTATAAAACTGTAAAGTTTTGATATTTTATAAATTTGCTACCTTGGATAATTTGATGTTTTTGGATTTTATAAACATTAGTAGAACAGTACCTAGAATAGTGTCTGGTGCATTATAGGTATGTGAGTAATAAATGTTTGCTCAGTGAATGAATGAATGAAATGTTGAATATAGTCAGCGATAACTGAGAAATGGCTGATTTCAGAAATGAGCAGAGGCTGTTAGGACTCATACGTATTACTTTGCTCAAACTTTTAATTTTAACCTTCTTNTGAATGAAATGTTGAATATAGTCAGCGATAACTGAGAAATGGCTGATTTCAGAAATGAGCAGAGGCTGTTAGGACTCATACGTATTACTTTGCTCTAACTTTTAATTTTAACCTTCTCATGTTCATTTTAGAAGTAAACTCAGTAATGTAAGCAAAATACCACTATTAATATCTGTCTTCTCTAAGAAATCTTGGCTTCTGGGTAGCTACGAACCTAATTATGAGTTAGGGTGTGTCCGCTTTGGTTCTTGGTGAACTGAACAGAGGTTGTATTGTGCTCAGCTTGCATTTGATGACAGCACATTCTGTCCTTGTCTGTATTAGGGTGTGGTGGCATTTTTAATTGTAGGCTACACTGCCTTTTATTTATAAGAGATTTATAGGCAGTGACCACAAAAGACATTATTAAAAAGAAATTATGAGCTATTATCTTCTTTTTTTTTTTGGCTCCTCAGTTCCCCGACCAGGGATTGAACCCACGCCTGCCACATTGGAAGCGTGGAGTCTTAACCACTGGACGGCCAGGGAAGTCCCGTTATCTTCCTGTTTGACTTAAAACAAAAAGTGAGGAACTCAGCATGTGACAGTTTCATCAATAGTTTCAAATTCTTCTTAAATTGCAAAGCCTTTTTTCATTCTTATAGCAATGAGAAATCTTGCGTCTTCATTTCAAAAGTGGGGTTTGGGGTCAGTTTTGTTCGTGATAAAATAGTTATCTGATTCCCTGCCCTCTGTTTTCAATGAGCAGGTGCGGGATTTCTATTTGAAAGTACTGAATGAGGAGCAGAGGAAACGCCTGTGTGAGAACATTGCAGGCCATCTCAAAGATGCACAACTTTTTATCCAGAAGAAAGCGGTGAGTGATACTTTGTAAGCCAAACAGTGTCACCTGCTGGCAGGATGGGAGAGTGCAGCTGTGGGAGAAAAACCTTCAAAAGAAGTGTCATTTCTATTTTACTTGAGTTAAGCAAACTTAAAAAAAATTCGTATGACTCCTCAGTCAGCCTCTGATTCTGTTCTTTCCGTGGCTTACCTCCAGTAGATACACCATATCCGTTAATCGTTTACTCTTTGTCCAGTGTGTAATAATTTAGTTAAGGGCCAGTTGTCTCCTAATGCTATTCAATCTGACTATAGCCAAGTTCCATGTTAAGAGAGTAATGTCCAGTTTCAAAATGTGGGTCCTGCCACAGTTTTGCTTAGACTGTAGATGATAAGAAATATAGATTACGTCTTTGTGGTTTGAAGTCTGCCTGACGACTCGATGTTATGATACCCAGCCTGCCTTCAGAAGCAACTAGAAACATGCAGTTTTCTGGGGTAAAAACGGAGCTGCTTCCAAGGCTCAGGCTGACCTTTTGAGCGAAGGCGTCCCAGGGAGCTCCTGATGGTAGCTCGTGCTGTGTGCTCACTGTTGGTTTCCTGGCTGCCCCGGGCTCAGCCTCTCATAAATTTCGGAACCGCTGCCCTTCCCTTGGCTCTTGGCTGCCGCTTCTCTGTTCATAAGGGCAGCTCTGGGGCGTGTTCTAGGTGCTCTCTCTGCAGGCAGAGCGCTATAAGCCGTGTTTGATGAGCGTGTATAACCCTTTGATTCCCTGCACACTGGTACTTCTCGCTGTCTCACCCAGGCAGAGAGCCTGACAGTTGCTCTTTGAGATAGATGGGCCGGGTTTTTTCTCATCTTTCTTAGAAGAACAAGTAAGACTGTTCGTAAGCAGAGAATTGGGCTCAAACTCTTGGCCTTCTCCTCTCACGTACAGTAAAGCTGCCTGGCCTCCGTGGGTTCTTGATGTCCTACCTCCTGCTGTCTGCTAGGGATCAGCCCCTGGTCAGGAATTCCTTCTTGAAGTGTGCAGAGCTGCCCAGTACGGGCTGGTGTTTGTACACCTCACTTTATTTTCTATTGGCATATGACTGGTCTACAATGTGTTCGTCTCTGCTGCACAACAAAGCGAATCAGGTGCATGGATGCATGCATCCCCTCCTTGAGCTACCCTCCAACCCCCGCCCCCATCCTACCTGTCTAGGCCAGCACTGAGCTGAGCTCCCGATGCTGGACCGTAGCTTCCCACCAGCTGTCTACCTTATACCTGGTGTATACAGCTAACTGTAAATTCAGGCAGTGTTGGGGCCCGTTTGCTAATACAAATCACTGTAACTTGTTGCATTCCTCCGAGGTCCGCTCTTTACCTGCTGTAAATAGAGCTCACCTCCTAATGCATTTTTCTCGCCATGCGAGGTAGATTTAATCCACTCATTTGTTTTTATGGGAGTGGATACTGAACTCTATGAGGTAGACTTGACTGTCTCACCTATTCCATGAGGAGTGGGTGTTGAAGCTCAGGCAAATGACTTATCCGGGGTTGCTCAGCCAGTACACACCCAGGACCTAAGTCCCACTCCGTGTTGTTAAATGCCGTGCGGCTCTGCCTCCTGTGGATTCTGGGGGGTGTGTGTGTCTGTATGTGTGTGTGTGTCCTCTGGAGTGAGGCCCGTGAAGCAGACACTCGGGACTGGTGTGAGGGGGCTAGGGTGATGTTCACATGGTTTTCGTTTGGTTTCAGGTTAAGAACTTCAGTGATGTCCATCCTGAATATGGCTCCCGCATCCAGGCTCTTTTGGACAAATACAATGAGGAGAAGCCGAAGGTGAGCCCAGAGCAGCCCGGCTGTGTGTGTGTGTGTGTCGTGGAGAGGCACAGTGGGGTTTTCTCTGACAGTACGCATCCAGGCTCTTTTGGACAAATACAATGAGGAGAAGCCGAAGGTGAGCCCAGAGCAGCCCGGCTGTGTGTGTGTGTCGTGTGTGTGAGTGTGTGTGTGTGTCGTGGAGAGGCACAGTGGGGTTTTCTCTGACAGTGATTCTCCTCAGGCAGCCGTTCCGTTTCTTAAGCAGCTGCTCACAACCTCAGCTGAGACGTAAAGAGCTTCATTTAAGCCCTGGGCCACATGAGGTTCTTGGTGGGGGTGTGTGTCCATGTAAGATTCTTGTGTGTGTGTGTGTCCATGTAAGATTCTGGTGTGTGTGTGTGTGTCCATATAAGATTCTGGTGTCTGTGTGTCCATAAAAGATACTGGTGTGTATGTGTATGTGTGTATGTGATGTCCAACTCTTTGCAACCCCACCAGGTTCCTCTGTCCATGGGATTCTCCAGGCAAGGATATTGGAGTGGGTTGTCATCTCCTACTCCACAGGGGCTGTAGTCCATAGGGTTGCAAAGAGCTGGACACAATTGAAGCGACTTAGCACATATGCTTATAAGACAATCTAAGGTGGACAAATTCTGCATTGTTATTTTCATTTGAGCACAAATGAAAGCAGAAATAAGTACTGAGTCTCTGCCCGAGTGAGTTAATTAACCTGCTGGTCTTGCCCTTTTGAAACAGAACGCAGTTCACACCTATGTGCAGCATGGGTCTCACTTGTCTGCAAGGGAGAAAGCTAATCTCTGAGGGTCGGGGGCCCTGATCCTGCGCCACGTTGCCGTCCGCTTATGAAGCAAAGCATGCCGTTCACACCTGTACCCACTGATCGCTGGATGGAAGATTCTCCGGTGCCAGACGTGCAAATGCAAGTTTGTGTCTGTAAAATGATAATCCAGATTTCTATAGCAAATTATGTAACAATGGCTTTTAACCCTACTTTCCTGTGGGTGAATGAAGGTTAGGGCTTAACAATCATTTAAAAGAAACATGTATTTGCTTTTGACAGCTGATTATTCACTTAAAATGACTACAATGAAAGTTTCTAGCAGAAATATGATTTTGTTTGACAAGAAAAAGTCTTGGTGACATTAATGTTTACATATCATCTCATGGCCTATTTTATAAAAATATGACTAATTATATAAGAAGAAAAGATAAAAAGAAAAGATGAGAAATTTTAATTTTTCTAAGTTCCCATGAGGAAGAACACATTGGTGTCTTTTGAAAATAACTTCAGCACCATCATGGCTTGATGTTTATTAGAAAATACTGGTTTCACAAGGATAGTGTATTATTTGTTTAAACCAATAGCCTTTATATACAGCTTCTGAGGTACAGGGGACCAGAACTTTATTCTATTGGGAAAAACAGCAAATTTCCCAGTTTTGAAAGTTACTTAGGGGTCCTGGAGCAGATGAGCGCAGAATATTTAGGCGAAAACATGAGGAGGGGGTGGGATCGCAGGGCAGGAGGAGTATCTCCGCCAAGAAAATTATGCATGCGTTAGGGAAGCTCTGAGAGAATGGCTGTGGAAGCTCTCCACTGCGGTTTGAATCCACGGGGAATTGATCACCCTGCCCATGGTGAAGGTATTAAACTACAAATTGAAGGCGAAGGTGTTGAGTCTCAATCCATTAAAAATAAAACTTTCCAGAAGGTGCTTGACCAAAAAGGAACCCCCAAGCGACTGCAGACAGAAGCCGAGACAACTAAGTCGGCTACGGTGAAGCTGTCAAAACCAGTGGCCCTGTGGACCCAGCAGGATGTCTGCAAGTGGCTGAAGAAACATTGTCCGAATCAGTATCAGATCTACAGTGAGTCATTCAAACAGCGCGACAGAACTGGGCAAGCCCTGCTGAGACTTACAGACAAAAAGCTTGAGCGAATGGGGATGGCCCAGGAGAACCTCCGGCAGCTCATCTTGCAAGAGGTGCTCCAGCTGAAGTCGCGCGAAGTCAGAAACCTACAGTTACTCACGCAAGCCTCAGCCGAGGGTTCTCCATAAATGCAGTTAGCCTTCCAAGCTGCTGTCCTGCCAGTCAATACGAACATGGCCTGTTCCTCACAGAAAGACTAACTCATGGTACTGCCATAAGATATCCTTGGAGCATTGACAGATTAACCAGATTAACTGGAAAACCACCCAGTCAGTCAAGATTACCGGCTTTGGAAAATCTTTGCTCTGGATTTTTAAACGAGGTGCATAATAAACAGTGCCAACTTGTTCCAAGTGGTCATTGGCAGACCATTAGCTGGAAAATTGCTTCCAGTTTTCGTCACTGTGCATAACTGAGGCTCCCTTTGGGGAGCTGTCTGTGCCCTTCACTACAGGTCCTGTTTTAGCATGGCAACTACTGGACTATTTTATTATGTGTGCAGATGGCATGATGTGTTAGAAAAAAAAAATTACAGCAGTCCTGCAATCTCAGTGGAAGTGTTCACAATACTATGCCCTGGTAGGAGTATAAACATGTCTCGATTGTGTTAAAAAAAAAAAAAGTTACTCAGATCTCCTGTTCATTAGCTTGCTTCTTTTTATCTGATTATGAGTTTTAACTTCTTTGAATTTTATTTTTCCCTTTCTTTCTTTCCAGTTTTATTGATATGTAATTGGCATAGAGCACTGTATAAATTTAAGGTGTACAGTATAATGATTCAATTCACGTAAATAATGAAATGGTTATCACAATAAGTTTAATTAATGGGAATTCCCTGGCAGTCCAGTGGTTAGGACTTGATGCTCTAGTCATGGGCCCAGATTTGATCCTTGGTTGGGAAACTAAGATTCCATACGTTGTGTGGCGAGGTCAAAATAATATTACATTAGTGCAAACGTAATTGTGGTTTTTTGCATTGTTGACATTTGCCATTTGATGTTGGGATACATTCTTAATGTGATTATGTTATACATAATTTTAATGTGCATTTCTCACTTTATTTTTTGATAATGATTTATTACTTGCTCTTTATTTTATATTTACATTAGACTATGGAAATAATGTTAGGCAAAAAGCAAATTTGAAGTATTTTCTTATTTGAGTTCAAAATGGATTGCAAAGCAGTAGAGACAGCTTGCAACATGAGTAATGCACTTGACCCAGGAACTGCTAACGAATGTACAGTGCAGTAGTGGTTTTGCAAAGTTTTGCAATGGAGAGCCTTGAAGATGAGCGTAGCAGCCAGCCATCGGAAGTTGACAACGACCATCGAAGCTGATCCTCTCACAACTACCCGAGAAGTTGCTGAAGAACTCAACGTCAGCCATGCTGTGGTCGTTCAGCATTGAAACAAATTAGAAAGGTAAAAAAGCCTAATTAATAAGAGGGTGCCTCATGAGCTGACTTAAAATTAAAAAAAAAAAATCATCATTTTGAAATATCATCTTATTCTTCGCAACAACAACCATTTCTGGATCGGACTGTGACGTGTGATGAAAAGTGGATTTTATATGACAGCCAGTGACAAACAACCAGCTCAATGGTTGGACCAAGAAACAGCTCTAAAGCACTTCCCAAAGCCAAATTTGTACCAAAAAAAGGTCCTGGTCACTGTTCAGTGGTCCACTGCTGGTCCGATCAACTACAGCTTTCTGAATCCCAGCAAAACCATTCCATCTGAGAAGTATGCTCAGCAAATTGGTGAGATGCACTGAAATCTGCATTTTGCAGGGACAACTTTTTGCAGGGAAAATGCTTCCATACCAGCAGGATGCAGAAAATGCCTTCCAAGAGTTTGATGAATCCTGTAGCATGGATTTTTACATTACAGGAAGAAGCAAACATTTTTCATTGGCAAAAATGTGTTGATTGTAGTGGTTCCTATTTTGATGAATAAAGATATGTTTGAGCCTAATTATAATGATTTAAAAATCACAGTCTGAAGCTGCAGTTATGTTTGCACCAACCTAATAATTTTAGTTAACATTCATCATCTCATATAGATCCAACACTAAAGAAATAAAATTTTTTTTTCTCATGAGGAGAGCTCTTAGGATTTACTCTCAACAGCTTTCATATATAGCATACAGCCGTGTTAATGACATTTATTGTTATTGTTCCCTTTATTCTGTTCCCTTTTATTGAAAAAATGTCTTTTGAGAACTGCCTTTACTTGCTATCACTCTCTGTCTTTTCTTGAACCTACAAGCAGACTGCCCTTGTCAAGGTCACCAGTGACTTCTATGCCACTAAAATCCAGTGGTCCCATCCAGGAGTCCCACTTCTGGGTATATCCCCCAAAGGGGTGGAAGCAGGGACTTGAAGAGATATGTGTACGATGTGAAGTATTATTCATCAGGGTCAAAAGGTGAAACAACTTCAGGGTTCATTAATAGGTGAATGGATAAACAAGATGTATATCCAGATAGTGGAATATTATTCAGCCTTAAGAAGGAAGGAAATTCAGCTGCAATGTGGCTGAATCTTGAAGACATGCTAAGTGAAATAAGTCTGATACAGATGGACAAGTATGGTATGATTCTACTTATACGAGGTACCTAGAATAGTCAAATTCACAAAGACAGAAAATAGAATGGTGGTTTCCAGGGACTGGGGGAGAGGGGAGTGGGGAATTCTTATTTAATAGGTATAGAGTTTCATTTGGAAGATGAAAAAGTTATGGAGGTGGATGGTGGTGATGGTAACATAACAGCGTGAATATATTTGCTCCTGAACTGTATACTTAAAAGCAGTTTAAAAATGGTAAATTTTATGTATGTTTTGCCACACAACACACGTACACACGCAGGCCCAAAGCCCAAAGTCCATTCTCATCCTTACCTTCCGTAGCCTCTTGGCTGTGTTTGACACAGTATTGACGCTTTCTTTTTTTTTAAAAAACATTTATTTTTATTTATTTGGCTGCATAGAATCTTAGTTGTGGCATGTGGGATCTAGTTCCCTGACCAGGGATCGAACCCAGCCCACCTGTATCAGGAGTGCAGAGTCTTAGCCACTGGACTACCAGGGAGTTCCCTGACGCTTTCTTTTAAAAAAGAAACCCGGGTGTTTTTTGGTGATAGACTTCACATACCATAAAACCCATCCATTTAAAGTGTATGATTCAATGGTTTTTAGCATATGCACAGAGTTATGCAGTCAACATCACAATAAATTTTAGAACATCTCTGTCACCCCCTAAAAATCTCTGTACTCATTAGCAGTCATGCACCATCCCCCCCACCAACTTAATCCTGCCTGATAACCCTTGGCCATCACGGATCTGTCTATAGATTCGCCTACATTGCACATTTTATCTAAATGGAATCATAACATGTGATCTGCAGTGGCTGGCTTCTTTCACTTAGTATAATGTTATCAAGATTCTTAGATGTTTTATCATGTATCTGTACTTCATTGCCTTCTGTTGCTAAATAATTTCCCATTGTATGGATAAACTGTGTTTTAGTGATCCATTCATCAGTTGACAGACATTTGGGTGGTTTACACTGTTTTGGCTACTATGAATAATGCTGCTATGAACATTTGTGTATGTGTTTTTGTGTGGACATGTCTTTTCATTTCTCACATTATCACCTTCTTAAAAGACATTTTCACTTACCTTCTGATGCACCACTCTCTAAAAATCTGCTGGTAATTTAAAATCTGTTATTTACTGTTCGAAAAGGAGGGTTGGTCTGGACTTAGGGAAACATTGAAGAATCATCTTGTTGCTTTCAAATTCAATGTCAGAATTTTAGTTTAAAGTACATTAATTTTTTCCCTTCCCCAGGTAAAAGGGCATGACTCTTAATTTGTAAGCCCTGCTATAGAAATGAGTTTTCAAAATTTCTTAACACTTGCTTTTCTGAAAGAAAAACAATGGGCAAGCTTCTTGGCCATTTCTTTGCCTCTTAGATCATGATAAAGGCAAAGGGCCAGATTCTATTTTAAACAATCTTATAGGGCACACTGAAGGCTTTAAAATCGTCATCAGAGCTTTTAAAGATGTGAAAGGTTAATAGATGTGAACTCAAAAAGTTCTGTATACTTTTGAGTTTTTGAGAATTTTAATCAGTCACATGTAGAAAGCTCCACTGTGGTCTTTTTTTTTTTTAACATTTGGCTGTTTGGTCAGTGATTTTTGCATTGTCATTTTAATTTTTGTTGATTTGCTTTGTTATTGTTTGTTTAAATGTGGTGTTTTAAATATCCCTTGTATTT